TTGAAACAAAGTCGTAGAGGGAGTAGATCAAAAAAGTGATGGAAAGTTTCCTGGATTGCTGTAACTTATCTGATCGATATATTGATCGATTTGATCTACTCCCACTCTCGACACACACGTGTGTTTTGTTTGTGCATCCATCTCACCTAACTGCATTCCAGCACCACTCGCACCCACATTCACAAAAGCGCTCACGGATCAATCGATATCAGTCAATGAACAATTGGTGTTATTCTGTTCCGTAAAAGGCATGCCACAACCTACTGTGGAATTCTACCATGAATCTGTGAGAATAGTCTCAACCAACAGAGTATCGATCGAACATGATGCGACAAATACACATTGGAGGATGTTTATCAAAGAAAGTCAAGAGGAAGATTTCGGAAGATATCACGCCGTGGCGAAGAATACCGTAGGCAGCGTGATATCTGAAGCTACAGTAACCCGAAAGAGTGTGACGCCAGTGTTTGAGCAAGGCTTAAAGTCTACCACTGTCACCGAGAAGGAGGAGATTAGAATGGAAGTGAAAGTCATTGGCACAGCGCCAGAAGTCACTTGGTACAAAGATGGCAAGCAAATCATCACCGATTCTATGCATGAGATTAGAACTGAGGAGTCTACCCGTACCTACAGTCTCGTAATCAAAGAGTCCAGCCTTACCGATTCTGGCAAATACACGGTTAGGGCAGAGAACGCAGCCGGTAGAGTGGAAAGCTCTGCTGAGGTTACTGTCACACAACTCCTCCAAAAGCCAACCTTTACCAAGGAGCTCGTCACTACTGAAGTGAAAATGAGTGAAACGGCAACGTTGAGCGTTTCTGTACAGGGCACGCCAGCTCCAGAAATTGTCTGGATGAAAGATGGTCAGCCAGTCAGCATTGACAACACCCATATCATTTCTAAGAGGGAAAGTGAGCAAAACTACTCGATTACCATCACATCTGCGCGCCAGGAAGATGCTGGAAGATATACCTGCGAGGCGAAGAACGTTGCTGGTGTAGCTGAATGCTCTGCAAATGTTGCTGTTATCAAAACAATGGAAGGCCCACAATTTACCGAATTCTTGCGACCAATAGAGGTGAAAGAGACAGAGACAGTACAGTTGTCAGTGACAGTGACAGGAACTCCACAACCTCAAGTGTCATGGTTCAAGGATGACAGACCAGTGGAGATTGACACTGTGCGCACCATCGCAAAAGATGAAGGCAGTGGTCATTTCACATTAACAATCAAAGATAGCAAAGTGACAGACATTGGCAAATACTCTTGCAAGGCTGTCAATGAGGCAGGAGAAGCTAGGACTGAGGCTACAGTCCATATTGCTAAGGAAACCGCTGCTCC